GTGTTCTCACACTGACTTGTAACGTTCTAATATTGATGTGTAGTGTTCTGACATCGTTATGTAGTGTTCTGACATTGATGTGTAATGTTCTGACATTGATGTGTCGTGTTCTAACAATGATGTGTAGTGTTCTGACATCGATGTGTAGTGTTCTGACATCGATATGTAGTGTTCTGACATTGATGTGTAATGTTCTGAGATCGATGTGTAGTGTTCTTACATTGATGTGTAGTGTTCCATGTTGTTGTGTAGTGTTCTGACATCGATGTGTAGTGTTCTGACATCGTTATGTAGTGTTCTGTCATTGATGTGTAATATTCTGACATTGATGTGTAGTGTTCTGACATCGATGTGTAGTGGTCCGACCTTGATTGTAGTGTTCTGACATTGATGTGTAGTGTTCTTACATTGATGTGAAGTGTTCTTATATTGATGTGTAATGTTCTCACGATGCTGTGTAATGTTCCGACCTTGATGTGTAGTGTTCTGACATTGATTTGTAGTGTTCTGGCATTGATGTGTAGTGTTCTGACATCGATGTGTGGTGGTCCGACCTTGATGTGTAGTGTTCTGACATTGATGTGAAGTGTTCTCACGTTGCTGTGTAATGTTCTTACATTGATGTGTAGTGTTCTGACATCGATGTGTAGTGTTCTGACATCGATATGTAGTGTTCTGACATTGATGTGTAGTGTTCTGACATCGATTTGTAGTGTTCTGACATTGACGTTTAGTGTTCTGACATTGATATTGATGTGTAGTGTTCTGACATTGACGTGTAGTGTTCTTACATTGATGTGTAATGTTCTTACGTTGCTGTGTAATGTTCTTACATTGATGTGTAGTGTTCTCACACTGACGTGTAATGTTCTTACATTGATGTGTAATGTTTTCACATTGACGTGTAATGTTCTCACATTGACGTGTAGTGTTATAACATTGATGTGTAGTGGTCCGACCTTGATGTGTAATGTTCTGACATTGATGTGTTGTGTTCTTACATTGATGTGTAGTGTTCTAACAATGATGTGTAGTGTTCTCATGTTGAGGTGTAGTGTTCTGTCATTGATGTGTAGTGTTCTGACATTGATTTGTAGTGTTCTGACATCGATGTGTAATGTTTTGACATCGATATGTAGTGTTCTGACATTGATTTGTAATGTTCTGACATCGATGTGTAGTGTTCTTGCATTGATGTGTAATGTTCTTACGTTGCTGTGTAATGTTCTTACATTGATGTGTAGTGTTCTGACATTGATGTGTAGTGTTCTGACATCGATGTGTAGTGTTCTGACATTGATGTGTAATATTCTGACATTGATGTGTAGTGTTCTAACAATGATGTGTAGTGTTCTGACATTGATGTGTAGTGTTCTGACATTGATGTGTAGTGTTCTGACATCGATGTGTAGTGGTCCGACCTTGATGTGTAGTGTTCTGACGTTGATGTGTAGTGTTCTGACATTGATGTGTAATGTTCTCACGTTGCTGTGTAATGTTCCAACCTTGATGTGTAGTGTTCTGACATTGATGTGTAGTGTTCTGACATTGATGTGTAGTGGTCCGACCTTGATGTGTAGTGTTCTTACATCGATGTGAGGTGGTCAGACCTTGATGTGTAGTGTTCTGACATTGATGTGAAGTGTTCTCACATTGATGTGAAGTGTTTTCACATGATTTATAACGTTGTCACATTGATGTATATTGTTCAAACATTAATGTGTTTTATTTTCAAATTGTTATGAAATTACATTGATGTGCAGTGTTCTCATATTTTCGTGTAGTGTTGTCACATTGATGTGTAGTGTTCTGACATTGATGTGCAGTGTTCTGACATTGATGTGTAGTGTTCTGACATCGATGTATTAATGTGTAGTGTTCTGACATTGATGTGTAGCGTTCTGCCATCGATGTGTAGTGGTCCGACCTTGATGGGTAGTGTTCTGACATTGATGTGTAGTGTTCTGAGATTGATGTGTAGTGTTCTGACATTGATTTGTAGTGTTCTGCCATCGATGTGTAGTGGTCCGACCTTGATGTGTAGTGTTCTGACATCGATGTGTAATGTTCTGACATTGATGTGCAGTGTTCTGACATCGATGTGTAGTGTTCTTACATTGATGTGTAGTGTTCTGACATTGATGTGTAGTGTTCTGCCATCGATGTGTGGTGTTCTGACATCGATGTGTAATGTTCTGACATTGATGTGTAGTTTTCTGACATCGATGTGTAGTGTTCTTACATTGATGGGTAGTGTTCTAACAATGATGTGTAGTGTTCTGACATTGATGTGTAGTGTTCTGCCATTGATGTGTAGTGGTCCGACCTTGATGTGAAGTGTTCTGACATTGATGTGTAATGTTCTGACATTGATGTGTAGTGTTCTAACAATGATGTGTAGTGTTCTGACATCGATGTGAGGTGGTCCGACCTTGATGTGTAGTGTTCTGACATTGATGTGTAGTGTTCTGCCATTGATGTGTAGTGGTCTGCCATCGATATGTAGTGTTCTGACATTGATGTGTAGTGTTCTCACATTGATGTGTAATGTTCTCACGTTGCTGTGTAATGGTCCGACCTTGATGTGTAGTGTTCTGACATTGATGTGTAATGTTCTGACATTGATGTGTAGTGTTCTGACATCGATGTGAGGTGGTCCGACCTTGGTGTGTAGTGTTCTGACATTGATGTGTAGTGTTGTGACATTGATGTGTAACGTTCTGACATTGATGTGTAGTGTTCTGCCATCGATATATAGTGTTCTGACATTGATGTGTAGTGTATTGATTTGTAGTGTTCTGACATCGATGTGAGGTGGTCCGACCTTGATGGGTAGTGTTCTGACATTGATGTGAAGTGTTCTCACATTAATGTGAAGTGTTCTCACAAGATTTATAACGTTGTCACATTGATGTATATTGTTCAAACATTGATGTGTTTTATTTTCAAATTGTTATGAAATTACAATGATGTGTAGTGTTCTGACATTGATGTGTAGTGTTCTGGCATTGATGTGTAGTGGTCCGACCTTGATGTGTAATGTTCTCACGTTGCTGTGTAATGGTCCGACCTTGATGTGTAGTGTTCTGACATCGTTATGTAGTGTTCTGACATTGATGTGCAGTGTTCTGACATTGATGTGTAATGTTCTGACATTGATGTGTAGTGTTCTGACATCGATATGTAGTGTTCTGACATTGATGTGTAGTGTTCTGACATTGATGTGTAGTGTTCTGACATCGATGCGAGGTGGTCCGACCTTGATGTGTAGTGTTCTGACATTGATGTGAAGTGTTCTCACATTAATGTGAAGTGTTCTCACAAGATTTATAACGTTGTCACATTGATGTATATTGTTCAAACATTGATGTGTTTTATTTTCAAATTGTTATGAAATTACATTGATGTGCAGTGTTCTGACATTGATGTGTAGTGTTCTTACATTTTTGTGTAGTGATATCTCTACCCAAACAGTTTCTGAGTGTTCTGATCACCGGCAAAATTAACCAAATGGCATTATATCGTTTCACTGTTAACATGTCTTTTTACATATAAGTGGACAACAAATGCGTCATACATTCTACCTTCAGGACCACAGGAATCAGGCACTCTGCTTAATGGCAGTGAGGAGTTCTATAGATTCTATTTCCTACGACGGTTATAGCAATATATCCGGCCCCTGTGTACCAGATAGTGTCATCAAGCGAGGTCCACACACACCAGAAGCAGACGAGACAGCTGTGAACGTAAACCGGGATAACGTGATACAGTCATCACCGAGGAAAATTATTGGCATCTCAAGAAATGACAGAACACTACAGTCCAGACAAAGAAATATTCAAACAGTTCGTATTGTAGACGAGCTAATCAACGGCGGACTTGGAAATTGGTTACGTCATGCAAGAGCGAGCTGAAAAGAGATTGTTTTCGCATGAATTTGAAAGTTTGGAGCCAAAATTAATGTGCTTCGAGGACTGTTTTAAAACTGCTTTAGGACTAGCGAGTTATTTTGGGGGAAATTGAAGTGCTACTTTCGAAATTTTCATTTTAAAACAACACGTTTATGATTTCTGAACATAGTAGAGTGGCCATGGGCAAAAAGCATTCTCCTTGCGTACGACCGTCCGCTTGCCACTTTGACGTTCCTCTAATACGTTGCGTTCACAGGAACCTGATAATTTGTTACAGCTATTTTTGGACCTTAACTAAGGTGTTCAGAGTAATTTTACATGTTTGAGGAGTTTAGATCGACTTTCGGTAAAAATACCACATTAGTTATACTCAGTCTGAATTTTTGTCATTTTGTCTTGAAAACATTATCTATCTGGATTTTGTCATTTTGTCTTGTAGTTATTATCTGTCTGAATTTTGTCATTTTGTCTTGTAGTTATAATCTCTCTGGATTTTGTTATTTTGTCTTGTAGCATTAATCTCTCTTGATTTTGTCATTTTGTCTTGTAGTTATAATCTCTCTGGATTTTGTCATTTTGTCTTGTAGTTATAATCTCTCTGGATTTTGTCTTGTAGTTATAATATCTCTGGATTTTGTCATTTTGTCTTGTAGTTATAATCTCTCTGAATTTTGTCTTGTAGTATTAATCTCTCTGGATTTTGTCATTTTCTCTTGTAGTTATAATCTCTCTTGATTTTGTCATTTTGTCTTGTAGTTATTATCTGTCTGAATTTTGTCATTTTGTCTTGTAGTTATAATCTCTCTGGATTTTGTCATTTTGTCTTGTAGTTATAATCTCTCTGGATTTTGTCATTTTGTCTTGTAGTTATTATCAATCTGGGTTTTGTCATTTTGTCTGATTTGATAATTTTATCTTATTATGCTCAAATAGTCTAGGGGTGATAATTTCTTGTTAAAGTGATTTGTAATATTTAAACTGGCACATTTATTATTATTTTTGAATACTGGCACATTTTTCTTACAACTTTTCTAATAAACAGTTGCCTAGTTGTAAAGGTTGACGGTATAAACATAGAAGTAATACTAATTTAGTGTCCATATCAGTTTATTGATCTGATCATACATACAGAAAATTAATTAACTTTGTAATTGATATATAATAACAAAGGAAAAAATATCACATATTTTCACAATTTACACATTTAACATTAAAAACAACAACAACGGTATGTATTGTACCTATATCTAACATGACACACCTCCACAGCACGTGTGAACCCCAGACAGGATATCGTAAATGTGTGTCACCCCAGCAGAACATAACACACATGTGACCCCCGGACAGGACATCACTTACATGTGACACCTACACAGGACATAACACACATGTGTCACCTGCACAGGACATAACACACATGTGACCCCTGGACAGGACATCACTTACATGTGACACCTGCACAGGACATAACACGCATGTGACGCCTGCACAGGACATAACACACATGTGCCCCCCAGACAGGACATCACTTACATGTGACACTTGCACAGGACATAACACACATGTGACCCCCGCACAGGACATCACTTACATGCGACACCTACACAGGACATAACACGCATGTGACACCTGCACAGGACATACCACACATGTGTCACCTGCACAGGACGTAACACACATGTGACCCCTGGACAGGACATCACTTACATGCGACACCTGCACAGGACATAACACGCATGTGACACCTGCACAGGACATAACACACATGTGACCCCCAGACAGGACATCACTTACATGTGACACCTGCACAGGACATAACACACATGTGTCACCTGCACAGGACATCACACATGTGTCGCCCTTTGACAGGACATAACACATATGAGACACCCAAACATGTCACCCTCAGACAGGACGTCAGAGATATCAAGGGTGACAGACTGTTTACATCTTATATAATTGTACATGTCCCGCAAATTCTGTCTTGAAAGACCTGACAATGGAGGGATCAACATATTGAAATTGAGACCATGCTTTAAAATCTTGTACTGCTTTCCTATACGAAATCTCCAACAATTGTAAACACCATAATAATTGTATGAAATTTAGGCTTATTGAATAGGTAGTTTATAGAATACACAAAAAAACAACCTGTTCTGATCTTTGGAAGTAAACAAGCAATTCACAAACAGTACACCCATAATTGGCAAATATGAAATTATACCTGAATAGTATTGTAAAATTGTTTTAAATTGAATATTATTATTTTCATTTGAAATAGATACACATTGAAAATTATATTTAGGGTTTAGCCAGCTTGAGTTTTTTCCCCCCAGTGAACCTCCAATTGTTTATTTTCTAAACCTGCACCAGGGAAATGGGTGAGCAAGAAACAAAAAAGACAATAAATAGCATTAGGCATATACACAAAGAAAGATAACTCTAGTACTTTGAAGTTACCAGTATTCAACGGAATGAGTCTAGATGATGCTGTTATAAGTCAGCCTTTGGCAGGCTCAATATATTTTTATGATACACACTGGTAAGTGGTTTCATCAATCTCCTAGATGTTCATGAAAATATTTCTTTTTAAATTGATATTTGTATAACTGAAATTTCATACAAACACTGAAGATTGACAACTTAATTGGTTTATTGTCACTGATGATGTCACTGATGTGGAAACAACAACCAATCAATCTAGTGCTAGGAAATATAGCCAAACACATGACAATTAAAGTTTGCAAAAATGGGTTGTTTTTTTTTTAAATCTTAAAATAAGAAACCTTTGATGACAAACCTTTCTAAATCCATTGTCATATAAGTAGTAATTGAATATCAAATACAAGCTGTAGTGTCTCCCTGAAATAATTGTGGACAAGTTGCTAACATGAAGAAACAGACACTAACTACCTTGTAGTAGGAAATTTCTGTTTCACATTTGACAATTTCATCCTGAAAACTAGCTTAAATTCGCAAACCTGTTGTTTTCACAAAATTATTACAATAGTCAATATCTACAGCAGAATAGATCGATAAGCTCATGCTCTAATCCTATATGAGTGTACACATTTGGCGTGTTTCCACTATATATTATTTCACTGTATGATGTGAAGCTTTAGTACAATTTGTTACATGTTGGCAATCCACAGTTGTAAAAGACAACCTTCAAAGTGAGTTTGTCATTTCACATATTTACTAGTACAGTACTTAATGTGAAAGAAATAGAATTGATCATTGCAATATGAGAAAGATCTGTTTAGTTCTTCCTTTAGCCATTTTGGTTTTATGGTCAGTCTCAAAATATAACATGCACAACGACGGATCAAGGGGAACCCTCAAGTTATTCCAGAGAAATAGTACTAGTACTAACAAACGTTCAATGTCAAAAATCGAAGCCTGTCTGCCATTTTGTTTATCTGATCAGTCTCAAAAGTAAATATGCACAACTTAAAACCTAGGGGAACCTACATATAAGATTTGAGAAAGATCTCTCAACTACTTATTGAGAAACAGCGATAACAAACATTCACTTTCAAAATCTAAGATGGCTGCCTGTCGGCCATTTTGTTCATCTGGTCATTCTCAAAATTAAACATGCACAACTACAGACCTAGGGCAGCCTACATAACACATTTGGGAAAGATCCCTCCAGTACTTCCTGAGAAATAGTGATACATATATGTAACAAACCTTTAATGTCACAATCCAAGATGTAGGCCTATCGGCCATTTTGTTTATCTGATCATTCTCAAAATTAAACAGGTATAACTACAGACCAAGGGTAATCTACATATATAATTTGAGATGGATCTCTCCAGTACTTCCCGAGAAATAGCCATAACAAACCTTCACTGACAAAATCCAAGATGGCTGCTTATTGGCCATTTTGTTTATCCAATCAAAACCCTAAAGATAACCTGCACAACTAGGGACCAAGGGGAACCTACATACAAAATTTGAGAAAGATCCCTCTGGTACTTACTGAGAAATAGCGATAACAAGAATTGTTTAAGGACGGACAGCGGACCACGGACGCAGGGCGATTTAAATAGCGCACCATCAGATGATGGTGGGCTAATTTTCTTTTCTAAAACAGCAGAGGAACCTCTCTAATCTGACACAATGTATGAGCCAACAATTAGATTGGATCAGACAGGTAACAGGTTCTATTTGTCAATTATTGTGAGTTTCACTGTATTTAGGGCTCTCTGAATTCAAATCTGCCTAATAAAATGATACATTGCAATACACATATTTTTTCGAAAGTCATCATTGATAACATTAGTACCCTCAAAAATTAAATCTACCTAGTTTAACTTCAAAAGAAGTTTTTTAACTTCATCACCATTGTACTGATAAAACCAAAGCAAAGCAGTGTTCAATATGAAATAATAATTCTAAACCTTATTTAACCCTTTCACCACTGTAGACCATAATGGACTCATCCAGCTAAATGTATGATAGAATAACCAGTTTACTTAAGGTAAATAGGGTTGAAAGGGTTAAAGTATAAAATTCATTATGGCATATACTATACATATACATGTACATATACTATACATATACATGTACATATACTATACATATACATGTACATATACTATACATATACAAGTACATATACTATACATATACTATACATATACATGTACATATACTATACATATACATGTACATATACTATACATATACTATACATATACATGTACATATACTATACATATACATGTACATATACTATACATATACTATACATATACATGTACATATACTATACATATACATGTACATATACTATACATATACTATACATATACATGTACATATACTATACATATACATGTACATATACTATACATATACTATACATATACATGTACATATACTATACATATACTATACATATACTATACATATACTATACATATACTATACATATACTATACATATACATGTACATATACTATACATATACATGTACATATACTATACATATACTATACATATACTATACATATACTATACATATACATGTACATATACTATACATATACATGTACATATACTATACATATACTATACATATACTATACATATACTATACATATACTATACATATACATGTACATATACTATACATATACATGTACATATACTATACATATACTATACATATACTATACATATACTATACATATACTATACATATACATGTACATATACTATACATATACATGTACATATACTATACATATACTATACATATACTATACATATACTATACATATACTATACATATACTATACATATACATGTACATATACTATACATATACATGTACATATACTATACATATACTATACATATACTATACATATACTATACATATACTATACATATACTATACATATACATGTACATATACTATACATATACATGTACATATACTATACATATACTATACATATACTATACATATACTATACATATACTATACATATACTATACATATACATGTACATATACTATACATATACATGTACATATACTATACATATACTATACATATACTATACATATACTATACATATACTATACATATACTATACATATACATGTACATATACTATACATATACATGTACATATACTATACATATACTATACATATACTATACATATACTATACATATACTATACATATACTATACATATACATGTACATATACTATACATATACATGTACATATACTATACATATACTATACATATACTATACATATACTATACATATACTATACATATACTATACATATACATGTACATATACTATACATATACATGTACATATACTATACATATACTATACATATACTATACATATACTATACATATACTATACATATACTATACATATACATGTACATATACTATACATATACATGTACATATACTATACATATACTATACATATACTATACATATACTATACATATACTATACATATACTATACATATACATGTACATATACTATACATATACATGTACATATACTATACATATACTATACATATACTATACATATACTATACATATACTATACATATACTATACATATACATGTACATATACTATACATATACATGTACATATACTATACATATACTATACATATACTATACATATACTATACATATACTATACATATACTATACATATACATGTACATATACTATACATATACATGTACATATACTATACATATACTATACATATACTATACATATACTATACATATACTATACATATACTATACATATACATGTACATATACTATACATATACATGTACATATACTATACATATACTATACATATACTATACATATACTATACATATACTATACATATACTATACATATACATGTACATATACTATACATATACATGTACATATACTATACATATACTATACATATACTATACATATACTATACATATACTATACATATACTATACATATACATGTACATATACTATACATATACATGTACATATACTATACATATACTATACATATACTATACATATACTATACATATACTATACATATACTATACATATACATGTACATATACTATACATATACATGTACATATACTATACATATACTATACATATACTATACATATACTATACATATACTATACATATACTATACATATACATGTACATATACTATACATATACATGTACATATACTATACATATACTATACATATACTATACATATACTATACATATACTATACATATACTATACATATACATGTACATATACTATACATATACATGTACATATACTATACATATACTATACATATACTATACATATACTATACATATACTATACATATACTATACATATACATGTACATATACTATACATATACATGTACATATACTATACATATACTATACATATACTATACATATACTATACATATACTATACATATACTATACATATACATGTACATATACTATACATATACATGTACATATACTATACATATACTATACATATACTATACATATACTATACATATACTATACATATACTATACATATACATGTACATATACTATACATATACATGTACATATACTATACATATACTATACATATACTATACATATACTATACATATACTATACATATACTATACATATACATGTACATATACTATACATATACATGTACATATACTATACATATACTATACATATACTATACATATACTATACATATACTATACATATACTATACATATACATGTACATATACTATACATATACATGTACATATACTATACATATACTATACATATACTATACATATACTATACATATACTATACATATACTATACATATACATGTACATATACTATACATATACATGTACATATACTATACATATACTATACATATACTATACATATACTATACATATACTATACATATACTATACATATACATGTACATATACTATACATATACATGTACATATACTATACATATACTATACATATACTATACATATACTATACATATACTATACATATACTATACATATACATGTACATATACTATACATATACATGTACATATACTATACATATACTATACATATACTATACATATACTATACATATACTATACATATACTATACATATACATGTACATATACTATACATATACATGTACATATACTATACATATACTATACATATACTATACATATACTATACATATACTATACATATACTATACATATACATGTACATATACTATACATATACATGTACATATACTATACATATACTATACATATACTATACATATACTATACATATACTATACATATACTATACATATACATGTACATATACTATACATATACATGTACATATACTATACATATACTATACATATACTATACATATACTATACATATACTATACATATACTATACATATACATGTACATATACTATACATATACATGTACATATACTATACATATACTATACATATACTATACATATACTATACATATACTATACATATACTATACATATACATGTACATATACTATACATATACATGTACATATACTATACATATACTATACATATACTATACATATACTATACATATACTA